CCCGTGGCAGAAAAGATTGCCTGTCTTCCCCCACCTGGTTTGCCAGCCATGGAAGGACCCTGCATCTCAAGGGAACCATGTTTCACCACGTGAAGATGCAGATGTCCCCTTCCTCCCCGCCCCCGCACCACACACACACACAAGCACACCCACCAGCTTGTGAACAATATTAACAAATATTTGCAGAGGACTTTTCAGATGCCAGGCATTATTCTAAATATTGGGAATACAGCAAGTAACAGCACAAACAAAACCCCCACCTTCTTGGTGCTGACATTCTAATGGGGGAGATTTAGACAAGAAACAAAATTTAAAAACAAAAATATTTCAATAGACTTACCTGCTGTCACTTCCCCAAATCACACTTTCTAGTCCCTCTGGGTCTCCAGTTTCCAGGACTCCGTTTCTGCTTTGGTCTTGGGTTCCAGCACTTCGCTCTATTAAAACACCTCGGATGTCACTCTTCTCCAAACACTGAGTTGGCCCTTGGTCATCATCCTCCTTGCCTACTCGTGACAGCTGGCACCCTTCTCTGAATCCCATAATGTGGGACCCCCCTTCTCAGGTACATTCAAAAAGACATCTTGGGAACTGCAGTCAAATGCCCCATCACCCTCCCCCTTTCACAGGATTGCGAGGGAAGACAGCTCTGTTGTGTCCAGGATGCCTGACTGGCTGTGTAGTTGAATGTTCCACTCCATCTTTGGCCAGACCCTAGGTCTTGTCAGGCCTTCCGTCTTTGTTATGAGAGCATCTCTCATACAAGGGTCGCTCAGGAATCCATAACCCAGGTGAAGGACCTAGGGATTTCACAATGAGACCTACAATTCCATTCTGAAATCTACTTCCCATGTTGGGTGGTTTTGGTAACTTGGCGTCACCTTGGGTTTAGGTTTCCTTTCAGGTCAGAGCTCACCTTCTGTTCTTTTCCTCACCTCTTTGTCTCTGGAACACTACTCTGCAGTCACTTGTGTTCTCTCTCTCACTTTCAGGCTTTCAGCATTCTTGCTCAGGCCCTTCTGAGGTTATTCTTTCTCCCAGTCCAGCCCGTCCCAGCCACTACCCAGCACATCCGCGCACAGCAAGAGGCACATGCCCCTGGTGTTCCCATGCACAGGGAGGAAAGTAGAGGCTTGAAGAAACAGAGAGGATCCTGCTGGTTATAGAATGGATTAGAGATAGGAAATAATCAAAACTCAAATCTCAAGCCCAAACTCTTTGCTTTGTTCTGGTCCTTTGTTTCTGAGGATGTAGAACTTACCACTGATGTAACCTTATTTGGAACCAAGTGTCAAAGCTTCTTCTTTCCTTAATCTTTCCCTCTTTATCCCCTGTGACTAGGGCCTTCCCTCTCCACCCCCCTCTCTGTCACATACACACACACATACACACCCCCCAGAACAAAGGGGAGGGAAGAGGGCTGGGATATGGAGATTAATGCCTCGCAGATTCCCATCTCCTGATGAGGCTGCTGGAGGGATAGCTACAGAGGCAGTTTTGCTGGCTGGAAAGATATTTGACTTTTTAGGTCCCTCTCCAAAACCTGGGTGTGAGCACTCATTTAGATAATGTCTACAAGGACTGCTGAGCTTTTCAAAGGTCAGCATTACACCGCACTGCATGACTCTAACAAGGAGACTAGCAACAGCTTACACCTTTACAGCCAGGAAGTGTTTCATCTTGGCCTGTAGCCAGAAAAGGAGGGAGTGGAAATTGAAAATCATCCTGATGTCCACCTCACTCTGAGCAATGTTTCAACAGCAGCCGATGTGTTAAATTTTTGAAAGTTCCTGCATCTGTGGAGATTTGTAGGCATCAAAGAACAGGCTGCGGTGAGCTGTCCCAAACCCAACTAAATCATTGATTGTGGAATTTTCAAGAACAATTCACCTTTGCAGCACAAGGCTCCTATGCAACAGCTGGAGGAAAGAAACCAAGCAAATGAACAGAAGCTACCTCAAAAAAAAAAAAAATGTCCTGCAAAAGGACACCTTAATAAAATGCATGTGTTCAATTGATCCTGAGGAGAAATTATTTTGCTCTGGCAAATTACATTTATATCTAAACATCATATTTTCAAATAGAATTGTATTCTCAGACGAGCATCACTGGGGAAGGCAGACAGTGTCCTGAATGTTCAACAATATACCATACAGATTCCTTTTATTAAAATCTCATTTCACTGGGATAGCTCCTTTGAGAGAGATGTGCAGAATAATGCTAGGAAACCGGTGAACCAACACCACATAATTATATCACGCATATTAAATATTCCTGCTTACGCATTCACTACGCACTTGGCCTGCACTTAATGCATCAGGAGAGCAAGGACGTCAGTAGCTCAGCAGCTTGGGAGTCTGGGATTTTTTTTTCTTTTTCTCACTTCCTCCTTTTTAAATTGAATAACAGGGGGAGCAAATCAAAGTCCCTAAGTCTTCATCCTCGGCCCGCAATGCTGCCACTTCAAAAGTACGTCACTTGGTTCCTTTCCTCGACAGAGCCCTGAGTGATCAATGGAAATAATGGCGAAGTCACCAAGCCGATCTTGCTCATGACCTTGCATCCTCTCCACTGCAATCCCAGTACCAGAAGTGCCTTAAACGTGTGCTGGGCTCCTTTGGGACCTGCTCAATTACTCTGGAAACAGGAAGACAGTTCCAGCTCAAAAATGAGACAGTGTTAGGGTTTCTTATTACAAAGTTAAAAGGGAAATGGTTAGCTGCTAAGGTTGGACAGCTTAAATAACATATAGTTTATTTTAAAGATGGTGGCTATGGAGAAGAGAAGCATGTCTGAGCACATGGTTCTGTACAATTGTGGTGAGATGTAGAATAAACCAAAATGCTGATCCTGAATTCTTGTAGCCGATGAGAATGTTCGTGTTTTCATTCATAAATGCAGTAAAACCTTGGACTTCGAGTAACTCGTTCTGTGAGTGTTCCGCACGACAAGCAAACATTTCTCATGAATTTTAACTGGATAAAAAGTGATGTCTTGCAATACAAGTAGTGGGTGACGTCAAATGTCACATGATCACAACTGAGCCAATGGTTCTTCTCTCTCTCTCTCTCTCTCTCTCTCTCTCTCTCTCTCTCTTGCTGCAGGATTGTGGGTGATCACCTCCCATGTTCGGATGCTCTGTCTCAGGCCATGGTGTTTCACAGGAATCTGTGATTTTTCAGAATGTTGGAAGGTGCACAACTGGCACTAGTGTATTTTTTGTCACTTCAAAGCACCTATGGACAGTCTTTTGCTTTTCCATACAAGAGTAAGCTTAGGAATGCTTTGCTTCATTCTATGTCAGGCTGCTTGCAGATATAGACCCTTTTCTCTGCTGCCTTATTGCCAGTTACATTAAATACAGCATATGACAAGAATATGACAATATTAGTACTGTACTGTAGCCAACACCGATGCGAGCATATACAATGGTTCCCACACAGAAAAAGGTTCCACCGAGCCATTAGAGAGCAGTGATTCCATTAGTGTTAGTGGAAGTTGTCCTACACAATAACCCTCCTCTCTCTTGTCTCCCTCACACCAGCCATCAAGGTTTAAAAAAAAAAAAAGTGCAGGTTAATTTGTTTTTCCTTATATTTTGTCTTTCCTTTGTTATGTTACAGTTTTATAATCATTTTCATATGAGGGCTTTTGGGTTGTGGATTGAATCATCTGAGTTTCCATTATTTCTTATGGGGAAATTCACTTTGATATACAAGTGCTTTGGATGACAAGCATGTTTCTGGAATGAATTAGGCTTGGAAACCAAGGTTGTACTGTATATTTAATGAACAGCTACTTGGTACTGTGTTCTGTTCCATGTACATTGGAGATTTGACAGAGGAAGAGATTCTGCCCGTAAGAAGCTGATAGTCGATTACCAGATAGAAGAAGTATGTATGGATGACTGATGGCAGATAGTCACTAGCAGGGACACAGAGCACTATGGGAGGGAGGGAGAGGTGCTGTCGGCTCAGTGATCCAAGGAATCCTTGAAGAACATGTCATCTGATCTTGATCTTGAAGCATTAGTAAAAGTGCACACATGGAAGAGGCAAGGAGGAAGGAAAGAAAGTTCAGGCAGAAGGAGTCACATATGGAAAGACTAAGCTGGGGAACATGGCGCCTGGAGCGGCTAGCATGGTTCAGAGGAGAGAGAGGTGGGCCAGATGAATACTGGATATCAAGAGGCCTCGAAGTCTCTGACAAGTTCAAAAACAAAATACCCCACAAAACCTATGGCCATCCCTACCCAGACTTTGCTCTGCTTTGTGTCATGTGATCCCGTGCATACCCTAGACAGCTCTCTTTTCCCTGCGGCTTCAGCTTGCCTGTGGCCATGTCTAGTCTGGGGAGGATGCCATCTCTGACAGAGTTAACCACCCCTCTGCGTCGGTTTCTTCCTGCCCCAAACCTAAATCCTCAAGGTGTGAATCTGTGGGAGTAGACTGAGGCAGGCGTACATTCCTGGTTGCGTTGTTTGGTTCCATTGTTTGTGATTAGAGAGGATAATGACCCTTGAAGAGACACAACAGTCTGGGTCCACCCCTTCAGCTACAGCTAAGGGTACAGATATTCCCAGAGAAAAGTGATACCCATAGCTACTGAGCTCAAAGAAGTATACTGTTTCTTACCTATCACAAATGTCCGCCAACATTTAAGGCGATAAGGAAATGTGCAATGCACGTTAGAAATTATGCCAAGGATGGTGGAAAACGTGAGTTTTTTTTGCATCTACAGAGACCACCTGCAGTTATGTGGAAGATTCCCAAAAGGGCATAGCTCCCAAGGCGGCACTGCTAATGAATGAGATGCTTCACCCTGTTGGCATGACATGTCCTGTCTGGGATTCATCAAGCAATAATTTTACCTCATTTCTCTCCACCCAGGAAGCTCCAGCTTCTATGAAAATCAGTACATCTGTCCAAAGTTTCACATCTGTAAAACCAGGGTAAGGCTACAACGATCTTGAAGTGTGAACAAGATACCGATCAAATGGGTAAGACTCCCAGCCATGATGTAAGAAAAAAAGGTCTTCATGCAGCATATGCTCTCTGGCTCCTAGAAAGCTTCATGTGCATAATATAAAGTTAAGTTGCCCAAGAAGTAAACTGGAGAAGTTCAGCGAAGTTTCCATTGTGCCATGATGTTTAAACCTCAGGAATGGTGTGATCCATCAGGCTTTTCATGATGCTTGGTGCCATCCGTTTAATAATATGTTCAAAGATAAAAGTAGGCATGATGGTAATGGTAACTACAGACTCAGATGTGGACAGTATGTCTGCAATTTGAGAGTCCTTCAGCCCAATGACGTTCTGCCCGTTGACTTCACAGATGTTATGTTCTGTGAGAAGACCATTTCTGGCTGCCGAACTGTCTTTCACTATGGATGTGATCTTTCCATTTTTAAAGATGAAGCCGAAGTGTCCAGTACTATCCTTATGCATGGTGATTGTCCGTTCAAAGGGCCGGTCACGAACAGTCATGGTTATCTTCTCTCCAAAAGCCTGTTTGAGCACCTAACACCTTCCTAGTGTTAACTAGGAAAACACAACCTTCTATGCCTTCAAATCGCTTGTTGTATGTAGAACATATTTTATGCACCCACTTACATAAATTTATCAGGATTTGCTATCAGAATATATTCACTGGCCAAGGGCAGAGTTTTATTTTCATAGGGTATGTGGTCTGATAAACAGTATCAGCAGAGGTAAGAATTTTACCAGGTAATGGTTTTTAAAAAGACCTGCAAGTAGATATTTTGAAAACCTTTTCCTATAACACTATCACAGTCTTCTATTCATACACACAGTGTCTGATTATTTTAATGTATTGGTATTGGCTCTAAGTTCCTTTTCCTGGGCAAGGACACACAGATTCAGATCACTGCTGCTCTCAGCTTGTTATCCTTGCAAAATAAAGAGCTTGCCTCAGTGGTTCATTGATGAAGAAGACATACTGAAGGGACGCCTGGGTGGCTCAGTCACTTAAGGGTCCGACTTAGTCTCAGGTCATGATCTTGCAGTTGGTGAGTTTCAGCCCCGTGTCGGGCTCTGTACTGACAGCTCAGAGCCTGGAGCCTGCTTCAAATACTGTGTCTGCCTCTCTCTCTGCCTCTCTACTCATTCTCTCTCTCGCTCTCACTCTCTCTCCCTCAAAAATAAATAAACATTAAAAATTTTTTTAAACATATACTGAGTAGTGCGTGTGTGTTTACACACTTATGACACACACACATACATACACACATGCCCCAAATGGCCAAGATTCAAGTTTTTCACCCCTAACGAAGTACATGTCCAATTCTTACAGGCATAGCTTCACCACTCCATTTGACTCCTCTCATAGCTCCAAACTTAAATATGATCCACACTTTTTCATCAATAGCTTGATATGCTATTAACCTGGCGTTTGTGATTCTTGAGATACTTGAGAGATTCCCTCTTTCCTTCTTTGTGTAGAACCTTTCACACACCAACTCTCCTAAAAGGGCTTTTCCACTTCTAGTCAAAGGGAGGAATAAAACAAGAGAATAAATCTAGAAAAGGATGTCAGGTGTACGCCGTGCACCAGCTTGCCCAGCCTCATCTTGGACATAAAACAAGCACACCTTCCCAGGGCTACCCAGGTCATTCCACCAGTCCCTCAGCGTCCCAGGTCCTCCTGTGACATCAGGAGCTGTCATCAAGCTGCCACACCGTTCCTCCACCTCTGACGTCCCAGAAGCTTCCATTTCCCTGGTAGTCACCTCTGCTCCCACAGAGACTGTCCTCTCCTCTGCCACTCCATTTCCACCATTGAACGAACATTTCCCTTAATGTTCTCCACGGTAGAACTTTCTAGAAAGATTTTACTAAATATCCAGGAACAAAGAAATGAACGTAGCCCAGCAAACTGATGTTTACAAGTGTTTGCATATCTTACTTTCCCCAGAGCCAACAGGTCCAGATCCCAGGAAATCCTAACCTCCTTCCGGACCTCTGGATCAATCCACACATGACATTCTTCAAGTGCTCCATGCTGGGCTGCCTCGAGCCTCTGGCTTGCTCCCCCAGCCACCTGGAATGCTCTCCCACCCATCCTCTCCTTTGGTTAACTCTGAACTAATCTATGTCTCGTCTTAAGTGATATTTTCTTCAGAAAACTTCCATAAAGAGCCTCTCACTACAAACAACAATGGCCTTTTTACATTCACTGCTCAATCTAGCCTTTTGTTTCATATTTCATAGGTCTTTCTTACTTTCCATATTTAAAAAACTATGTTACCCAAAAGAATTGAAAGCAGGATCTCAAAGAAATACTTGCACATCGATGTTCATAGGAGCATTATTCACAGTAGCCAAAACACAGAAGCAACTAGGTGCTCCCTGACAGATTAACAGAAAAACAAAATGTGGTCTGTATGTACATACAATGGAATATTCTCAGCCTTAAAAAAGGAAGTAGATTCTGACACATGGTATAATACATTTGAACGCTGAGGACATTATTTGAAGTGAAATAAGCCAGACAAAAAGACAAATACTGTGACTATAGTCATCTGAAATATGCAAGGCAGTCAAATTTATAGAGACAGAAAGTAGAATAGTGGTTCCCAGGGCCTGGAGGGGAGGGAAGAAAGAGTAATGGCTTACTGGGTACAGACTGTCAGTCTGGGAAGACGAAGACATTCTGAGTTGGATAGTGGTGACGATCGCCCAATGGGAATGGACCTGATGCCACTGGAGAATAAACTTAAAAGTGAGTAAGACAGGAATTTTGGTGTTATGTGTATTTCACCACAATTGGTTGGTTAACTAATTAATTTAAAAGACTATTTGTTTAATACTTGTCTCTGCCTGTAGACTGTAAGCTTTCTGAGGACAGGGATGAGGTCTGCTTCTTCACTGTTGTATTCCTGTGCCTGGCACGTAGTCATCCATGGTTGGGCAGGTCACCCACCTCTGCAGGGGCTCCAAATGTATCTGCATTTCAAAGTTCATACCCCCAGGGGCACCCGGGTGGCTCAGTCTGCTAAGCATGAGACTTCAGCTCAGGTCACAATCTCACAGTTCATGGGTTTGGGCCATATGTCAGGCCTGCTTCGGATTCTGTGTCTCCCTCTCTCTCTTCCCCTCCCTTGGTCATAGTCTCTCTCTCTCTCTCTCTCTCTGAAAAATAAATATGTACAAAATTATAATTTTTAAAAATTAAAAGAAAAAACAAAGTTTATACCCCCATCTGAGACTCCCTTCCAACACCTGATGGAAAAAATATCCACTTCACTGTATAATCTCCATCACTCAAATTCCCATTTCTTGCCTCAATATCCACCACTATTCTGATGCATCCACTCAGGATACGTAATGATGAACATACCCTCCTTCCCTGACCCATCCAGGGAATCCCCCAGGAAGTGTGGCTTCATTTTCTGGACCCAAAAGGACAAACTTATCAGAATATGATATTAAAACATCGGTATATTTCCCAAAATCTTAGTCATTTTTTTTCTGAAATAACCCTACGGTTAGGACAAAAAGTTCTCCCAGGGATAGCTATGAGGAACTTCCCTGTACTATCAAGTGGTGAACAGGGTATTGGCAAGTCACTTCTGCAATCTTGTCAACACTTATCTGTTCAGTAATTGCTCTCTCCTAAAACCCTGCAACTCCTTAAAAACATGCCACAGATCTGAGCAGAGTACTGTAAACTTATACAAAGCCAAAAATATTTGTGTTTCCCATTTCCTCCCCTCTAAAAAAATCTGGAACTTGAAAAAATAAAAAGAAGTGAATATAGCCCTGACCCAAACATATATTATGATTTACATACACATATGATTTACATCCCCAAGCAAGACACATATTTTTTTACACATTTATATGCAGGTTAAAGACACTTTTGAACTTTGACTCAAAACTTGCTTAAAAACTGGTAATCAAAAAAAAAAAAAACAACAACTGGTAATCAAATGGCTGATCTTCTAGAACAAAGGGATAGTCTTTCCTAAAGAAATAGTGATATTTCTCATTTTAATTAGGTATAACATAGGTTGCATGGTTTTATAGCTCTTACCCAGCTTACAAAGATCTTTGGGTCTGATTTTTAATCAGGACACTCATTTCTTATGCATACACCAGGTAAAGGAAGATATCCACTTTCTATCATATCTCTACTCTTTTAAATATCTATTCAGTCCTTATAGAAAGTGTCAGCTTTGTATCAGTTTCTTTATTAAAGGTATTATATATTTATTAAAGAGGCTTCTTTAATATCTCTCTCTGGTATTTAGTAATAGCTCTTTCAAACCCAAATTTTTATAGTGAAAGGAACCAGCAACAGGGAACAGCAAATTGTCAACCTCATGATGGAGCTTATGATGTAATTTTGAATCTATAAACTTGGAAGTTTTCTTATTTTATTTCCTTTTCCAAAGGAAGTACACTCATTGTCTTATTGTAGACATAAAACCAGAGGAGACAAATCTATCCCTTACTCCCACAATCTTCCCAGAGTCTGAGTCCCGTCTGAATCATACTCTGAGACCACCTCCAAACAGAAGTGACCTAAGCAAACCCTGCCTGTCTGTTATCGTCACATATCCCATAATGAGACTAAGACTGAGACATATAGAAGGGTTATCTTGTGCAAACAAGAGCACTCAACATTGGAATCCACTAAGATATAAAATTAAATATTCTACTGTTTTCGAAAAACTGCCAGGGAATGGCATTACCTATCCCATGGCCTGAGGATGTCTCTTGCTGTTCTTCTCCCACATTGTGGTGGCCCCACGTAAGGGCATGTACGGTCTATAATCAAAACTGAGCTGTCAAGAGCGGCTCTTTTAGAGCAAGTATCCCCAAAACTCAGACAGCCATTCAGTGACGTGCCACTACATAGAGGTTAAGTGCTCCTTCTGGAACCAGCCAGGGGCCTTCCCAACTACTCCACTTACTAAGCAGTTGGCCTCGAGCAAGTTACTGTACTGCCTCTTTATTCATGGCTTCACTTTCTGTGGTTTATTACCTATAGTCCAGAAGCAGATGATCTTCCTGACGTATCATCAGAAGGTCAATACTAGCCTAACATTACATCACAATGCCTAGTCATTCCCCTCACTTATCTTATCAGGAAGCATTTGATCAGCTCACCTCATAAGAGGAAGGGTGCGTACCTTACAGCAAGATATTTCCAGAGAGAGGGAGGGAAAGATCACATGTAACTTTTATTACAGTATATTGTTAAAATTGTTCTATTTTATTATAACTGTACTTAATCTCTTACTGTGCCTAATTTATAAATGAAACTTCATCACAGGTATCTACATATAGGAAAAAACAGTATGTATAGAGTTGAGTACTGTAGGTAGTTTCAGGGATCCACTGGGAGTCTGGTCCATAACCCCTGTGGATAAGAGGGGGAGTATGAATACTTAATATTTTCTGCCTCAGTTTCCTTATCTATAAACTGTGGATGATCTTTGTTTCCACCTCAGACAATTGTGAAAACAAAACAAACAGTACTTGTAAAATGCTCACCATGTTATTTACACATGCTAAGCAATGAATGATGATTCATTATTATGATAGTTCAACAAATGCATTAACAATAAATGTTAGTTAAGATCGTTATTTACTTCTTCCTGTAATTGATTTCTAGCTCCCAAGCTTTTCAAGGACCTTGCCTCAGATCTAATCCTTTAAATTACATGTCTCTGTCTCCTCCTGTAGGCAGCTACCACTGCCAAAAAAAAAAAAAAAGTCTCCCACCGATATTCAGCTGGTCCATTTTGGATGTATGAAAATTCGAGAGGAAAAAGCCAGGTGAAGGCTCCTTCCTGAATAGGAAGGCCATTCTCTCCCTGGCTTGCTCACAAGAGAAAACAAAAAAATTCACCTGAAATGTTTGCTCTGAAAAATGAAGGGGAAAAAGAGAGCTCCTTCAATATTTTCAATATTTGGGTGTTCTGTTTACCTAGTGAGGATTAAGTTTCCTTAAACTGGCTTCTCTTCAATGCAGGTATGTCTCATTCACATATGTGTGACCCTAAGCCCCACTGGTGGCAAATAAATTGGTAAACTAATAGTTTACCCAAAGAATCCCTTCAATGAACAAAAGACTCTGGGGAGTTTCTTCCTAACACAACTCTGTCTTACTTAGTTTTATGTGGGGTTCCTGGCGTGGGGCGCACCAAGGCAGGGAAGCAGAAGTGGGACTTCTCAGAGCTTACCAATTTGTCACCGAGCTACCGAGGCAGGGAAGGTAAATGCACCCATTAGCTTCACCACATTAGAGGGTATGCTCAAATCGCCATCAACTTTATAAACTGCATTGATGCTCCAAGTAAGGCGAAATCTGGTGAGAGGAAGTTCCATTTTACTTTATCATCCTTTTCCCAAAAAACCCAAGAAATGGGATGTTGGGCTGAAAAGCAGGTCTAAGGGCTCACAAGTCACAGAGTGATTCTCCCCACACATCAACTGGCCCAGGTGGCCCAGTAATCCAAGGAGGGGCTGAGGTGACAGATGGCCCAGCTGTAGCCCTTTGCCACCCGAAGCGTGTTGGCAAGTCCTTTCTACAGTCTTCTGTGTCAACACTTGTCTGCGTGCTGCACGTGGGGCGGGGACAGCACTCACACACACCGGCCGTTCCGCTGTGACGCACCTCCTTCCGCTGTCCCGGAAGCTGTGTCTGAGGTTTAGGGTGCACCCGGCCACTGTCCATTCTCCTCTCGGCTCAAGGCCTAGGACACTGGTTTGGAGTAGAGTTGCAAACGATGGCACGTGGGGAGCGTTCCCCATTGTCTTTTCTGTCATTCGGAGAGCTTTCCTGGGAAATGGATGTATGCTTGTGATAACAGACTGACAAGGGAGAAACGTGGAATGGATTGTGGGAGGTGGATTCATTATCTCTGAGCAACGGGCAGGCCAATTTCCAAATGTGCTCATTTCCTTCAGGTCTCTGCTCATCATCCACTCAGAAGCTGCACTGTCCCTCTTGTCACCACCTGACATAGGCATGCATTCCTTTGCTTACCTGGCGCCTCCGGCCAGAGCATAGCCCCCTGAGAACCAGGGACGCCGTGTCCACCGCCTTAT